AGAGAAGGCAATAAAGAGAGAGACATAGGCAGAGAGAGAAAAAAGACGAAGGGCGGAAGGGACGGACGGACGTTTCATGCCTTCGTTTTAGGTATATTTGACCCACAAAAAAATGGATTCTATCCACACGTACAGAAGGAAGTAATTCATTAAAAATTGGAGTCAGATTTAGCCACATTTTGGTTACCTGCATATGTATTCCTGAATAGGAGTGTTTTTCTCGTTTTCCGGCTTACGATACGGCTTCTCTTATGACGTAAGGTGAAGAAGGATCATCCGTTCGAAGAAGAGACAATGTGTAATTTTTCATCAATAGGCTTAATTTCCAAAGTACGTTTAGTATACCTGTTTAACTGATACGTCAAATCATCTCTTCGCTGGCATAATAGTCGATGAGCCCTGCAAACGCACAGACCTAAATGATATTCAAGGACTCCAGGGTGAGGGTTTCTTCAGTAAGGCACTTAGCATAACATGAGCATAACACAACTTAACGGCGTTTGAATAGCAAATGACCCTTAGAAGAGTAGCAAAATGGCGTTGCCCGTAGTGGCAACATTCACCCTAACAAAGCACTTAAACAGAAATCCAAAGGAACACTTCGAAATTGCAATGAACGATACTACTTCTCATTCGTATTAAAGGTTATGTGCTAGGATAATATTAAGACTCCGCCTACGTTGGGTCCAGAATACGAGCTTCAGCCTTCTCAATTAACGCCATCATTCGTGCCTATGGAATTTATATTTTCACATTTTCAACTCGCTTGATGACAAAATATTTTGCTGCTGAATAGTTTGTTAAGAAATTTGTACATTCCTTCTCACATAACATACCTTCTCACATCACTTCTAATGGCTTCGCAATCTTGAACCTCAACCTGCAGAAATGTTTCCAATGAGCAAAACGTAGGGGTGGGATTTCTAGAGTTTAACATTGATTTGAATCAGAGTTAGCACGCCATTCATCCACGCCATCAGTATCACAGCTAAAGACAATCTTCTAGATTCTTAAAAATTACGTTCATTTAATTTATTAGAACGTTTCGGAAGGAATAAATCACCATCATAGAAATTATAGTTTTACAATTTTATTTAATCTGGAATTTACGAAAATATACAATTATCCGGAAATGGGATCAGAACATTTTCTCAATTTTTCCTTTTCCTAATAGTAGAATGGAAATATTTTAAGAATATTAAACAACAGTAAAACTTCGTCCAAAACAGCAATTTTCTTTGACAATTTTGAAGCCGTTTTTATGAAAATGGCATTTAAGCTCTATTGTGAATTCAAAATTTGAAGTTCTTCACGTAAAATGTTTGAATTTTCGAAAAACTTTATTAGAAGTCACTTAACGCACATGGAAATATTTCTGTGCATAAAGAAGCATTGAAAATGACAAGTTTTCAATAAACAATCTCGAAATTCATTTAAACCAGATGAATATTTATTTTTAGTTCACTGATTATTGATAAGATTTTGTTATAAGTTTGGGAAATAAATATCGTGTCGAAATTTTTTTGGGAAAGTAATGGTGTTGAATTTTGCGATTTTAGTTCCTTCGTGAGTTCAGTCGAAATTCTAAAAAACTGGTGGTTGAAGAGATTTGCCACTTTTACCGGATTACTGGTTTCTCTTTCATTATCCTTTAAAACATCATTCTCTACTAAGTAACGAGATGATGAGGTCGTATTTTTTACGATATTTCATGTTTATTTAGTTTTGTTACAAGCCTTCAAAATATCCTGATTATTTTTCATTATTTTTGCCTAAACTACCAAGGATCCTCGAAACATTAAACCCGACTACCCAGTGTTACAGAAAGCAATGTATCATACATAGGAACAAAGTTTTTCCATTGTTTATTTTCCAGGGCCCGACAATTTTAGTTTTCTATCAAACATTCGCCTTTTTCCGGCGCACCATTACAATACTTTCTCTTTCTTAAAAAGTTGCGTAAAATTAAAGAAACATTTGTCTCTAAA